CTATGTGTGGGCGTGTGTTATGTGTGTGTGTGTGTGTGCTGTGTGTGTGTGTGTGTGTGTGTTGTGTGTGTGTGTGTGTGTGTTGTGTGGATGTGTGTGTGTAGGTATGGATGTTAGTTTGTGTGTGTGTGTTTGAGACTGTATGGAATGCATGCATGTGTATTGTGGATATATGTGTGTATACGTTTATGTGTGTCTGTATGCATGTGTTTTAGTGTATGTGTTGTGTTAGAGAGAGAGAGTATCGGCTGTAGCGAAGCCGATCCGCGATAGAGTGCAGATCAGCTTGTGTCAACCGCCGTGGCACAAGCATTAGCGCGCCAAACCGCGGCAAGGGTGGTACTGCCAAATAACCTCTAGTAAAGTGAGAGTGGCCTATGTCGTGCCGCGGAATAAATGATTGTTGAAAAGAATACACACGCATACTACCTATAAACATTATATACATATACTATACATGCATACATATATATATATATATATATACAATATATATACAGATATATCACATCCATCATAAAGTGTAAATGTTTGCACGCGTGCGTGCAGTGCTTGTGTAATGTGTAATGTGTGTGTGTGTGTGGGTTTGTGTGCGTGGTGTTAGTAGTACATGTGAGTCTGTGTATGATGAAATTCATACATGTGTTGTGTGTGGTTTGTATTAAATTTGTGCGTTTTGTGTGTATGTAGTGTTTGGAATGTATGAAAAGTATCTCTTTATATATATTCAGTAAAACTATATTTAGCTATCCGTTATGTATACACACTACACACACACCACACCACACCCACACACACAACACACACACACACACATATATATATTATAATATTGATATATTATTGATATGTACAGGTGTGTGAGTCGTGGTCAACTGAGAGTGTGTGTGTGTGTGAGTGTGCATGAAGGTGTTTAAGTTATGTATGTACATATGTGTCTTGTGTAATGTGTGCGTCTGTGTATGTATTGTCTGTGAATTGAAAAAAAAATGGGGGGCATGTGTGTGTATGTGAGTGTGTGTAAGTCCTGTGTGTTTGCGTGCACACGCGTGTGTGTGTGTGTGTGTGTGTGTGTGTGTGCATGTGTGTAAATGTGTAGTCTG